GGCACTTGGCAGTTGGCTTGCATTTACAACCAGTTGCCAAGCACCCCATGATCGTGTGATTGCCATTTGCAATCTTCTCTGCTGGCTTCCCCGTTGGAAGGCTGCAAGCAGAGGGGACGCAGCAGTGTGCAGGAACGGAGGCCAGATCCTGAAGATTTGAGCTCCGTTCCTCCAGCCCCAACAAGGATTTCCCCTCTGTTCACGGAGGGGACGGGAACCCCCTTAGTGGTAAGAAGGAACAGAGCTCAAATCTTCAGGATTTGAGCTCCATTCCTTCCCAGCGCCAAGGGGTTTCCCCTCCCCTCTCAGCGGTAGGACCGGAACTCAGTTCCTGAAGATTTGAGCTCCGTTCCTTCATACTGCTGAATGGGGAGGAGAAACCTCTCAGCAGGCTGCCTGCCGGGAGGATTTCAGCTCTACCAGCTCTACGCTGAAACTGTCTGGCAGGCAGCCCTTTCACTCTCCAACAGCTGCCTGCTGGGAGGATTTCAGCTTAACAACCGCAACCAAGAGCGCCTGGATTGTGGTTGTTGAGCAAAGCAGTCACGTGGGCGTGTTGCTTAACGACCACTTTGCTGAAGAGACCGAGATTCCGGTCCCATTTGTGGTTGTTAGGTGGAGACTACTTATATTACTGTTCCATTTGCATTTTTAGGAGGAAAAGATATGTTTGCTCTCAAAGCTCTGATTGTTCTTATAGTTCAGACACAATAAAAACTATGGCTTCCTACTTCCTCTAGGCATACTTTAGGAGTTTGTTTTCATCTTTATCTAACTAAACTTACTTAATGGTTTCGTTAGGATCAAGCTAGTTTCAGATTCTGTCTTGTTCTCAGAGCAGGCAGAACAAACTGAAGGCATTAGGCAGTAAGGATGGTGGGATGGGTGTAATGATTAGTTTTTTTAAAGGATGGCTAATACATGAGTGGACCTCCCTTTGTTTGTTCCCTCCCTGCCTTTCTCACTGATATCCAGATTTACCCCAAAGGACACTGAGCTTTTAGGGGCAAACATGGGAGTAAATCAGTTTGTTCTGTTAGCGAAAGGCTGGGCAGATTGAATATGCTTCTGGGATACATTCATCTTCTCCCAGGCTTGAACATAATTTGGGAAGATTGAGGGGGTTGCAGAAATTATTACCAGACAAGCATTTTATTTTATAGGACCTTCATATATTGCTATTGAAAGCTAGTAGAACAAATAGGGCAGCAGGAAATACTTTAGGGGAGCACTATACACTATTCCTTAGAGTCATCTCTGCTGTCTGCCAAAGCAAATGAGTTGGTTTTGAAATAATAGAACTGACCTTTGCCTGTGCCTCCTACCTAGGTGCAAGATACCACGCTTTGTTGATCCCTGACTGTCCTGGTGCCTTGACAGATCTAGCAAACAGTGGCTACTTAGCTAGAATATTGCAGCATTTCAGTTCGGAGAACAGTAGGTAAACTTCCTTGGTGTTTTATGTGCTATTGTGTACATCCAGACATCGTAGATTAGGAAGCATGTAGCAAGATCTTGCATAAGATACACATAATATTTGTTCTAGTTCTTAAAAAATATTATGGATAATATGATACCAGGCACATAATCTGCTCAACAATCACTAGGAATGCATAGTGAAAATAATACATTTGAATATGCGTTGCTTATTCTGTTTTCATCCATTTTATATCTCCCTCTGCTACCTTTTTGATCCCTTCCCCCGTTGCATTTTTTAAAAAATGTTAAATAGGAAATAATAAATACTGCATTATATGACATACATACTGTTTTTGAAAGGAAAACCCACTTCAAAGTAACGTTTTCATACAACCCTAAAGGTTTTATATAAAGTTGTTCCTCTTTACAGAGCCTATTTGTGCTATTGGAAATGGAGTTGCTGCGTTATGTTGTGCCACAAATGAAGACAAATCCTGGGTGTTTCAAGAATACAGCTTAACAGGGGTAGGTGTTGTATGCTGAACTAAGAGCGGATTTTTCACGATAGGTAGCTCTCCTAAAAAGGTTCTGTAGAAACCTGTTGAATCTCCTTGAATGAAACTTGATTCTTGATAATTTCACAGACTTGTCTATGTGGTTTACTTGGCAACAGTATGGAAGTGTGTTTTGCCATTGTCTTATTTTTGATGTTTTTCAATGTCCTGGTCTAGCCTACAACCCTGGGATTTACTAGTGGTCTCCCATCCAAATGCTAAACGAGTCTGATCCTGCTGTGTTTTTGGAGATGGATCAAGATTGGCCAGGTGCTGCTAGATAACTTGGCAGTGTGATGTAGCTTATTTTTGTTTTTCATGTGTGGCTGAATTTCTCAGATTACAGTCACAGATCTTTCCCAAGATTTGTGTTTTTGCCGAAGCACTTCACGTTTACTTGCATTAATTGTATGACCGCAAAGAGAGTGATGGCTATATATAGTGGTTGCTTAAAAAAAAACAACCTTTAAAATCCTGCTTTATATCCAAGAGGCTCTCCAAGTACTTTAGTAAAATAATCCCAAGAAAATAACTTTTAGTGAGTATAAACAAAGTTATAGCCACAATGAAACTGAATTAGTAATTGTTAGAGGAATAAGTGGAATCACCTGTCAGTGGAATAAAATTATACTTTTTTTAAAAAATGAGAATTTTGTGGTCTAGAGGCTGCATAGTTTGCAACAGTAATGCATTTAATTCTGTATGCCATATGAAGTGATCCTGACTGTATACACTTGGTTAGGAACTGCCCTGTTGAATTACATGAAGTTCTACTTAGTTCTGTAATCAAAATATAAGTATCTTCCTACAGAGGTTTCACTAAATTACAATATAAAAATATTATCTTTTATGTTTCTTCCAGCCTTCTGTCTATGAACTAGTAAGACTTCCTAGTTTTGCTAGTTTGCCCATTATTGTTGAAGATTTTTCAAAAGATTCTGGAGCTACCTTTAGTGGTATGTTATTTTAATATTTCCTGCTGCCATAGATTTTTATTCTTATTGATACAATGCATTAATATTGATTTAAAAATCAATATTTATGTAGGATCATGAAATAATTCTGCAATTATAACTCATTAAAATAAAATGTATTGCATGGTAATAATTTATAGGAGTTTATAGGGTTTTTTTTTTTTACATATCTTGTGATCTTAAGAGTGCTATACAGTGAGACAACAATGGTTTTCTTAAGCCTGTAGAAGCTACTTCTGTGTCCTGGGCCCACCTCATCAATATCATCAAACTTGCAACACTGTGGGGGTCATAGCAATCAATAGCTACATCCCACCCCCACCCCCATTAAAAAGCATTAAGGGATATATTGTTCCTAAATTAGGAAGCTAAACTCCATTTTATTCTTGTTTGTGGGATCCATCTCAAACAGTGTTGTTGCTGACTAATTAACAGCAAATTGTGCAATGTAGCACTCTCTGCAGCCTGAATAGCAGCACTAACATCAACTGAGGCCTGTGCAGGGGATCAGGTTAGCAGAGCCCTCTTGCTTTCCTGGTGGCTGAAATGTGATAGAATGGCTGTGTGTCTTCACTGAGAACTGCAAAGTGGTGGCGGTTTTTACTGATGTTGGAGCTGGGTATGCGATTAATGGCTCTTGTGCACAGAGCCACTCCTGGGCTGTCGTCATTCACTGGACTTATGGAGCCTCCCCTCTATCTGAGGTAACCTGGGAGAGTAAGGGAGCAAGGCCATCGCAGCTATGGCAGTTAGGGCCAGGACCTGCTCTCCCTGCCATGGCCACAGCTGCCCCTTGACAGCTTGAGAAGCATGGTTTTATAACAGGGTGAGCAGGACAAGGCGCCACCTCAGCCAGAGTTGGGACCTGCACCCACCGCCACTGCTGCATCTCCACCTTCCTATAGCTTTAGAGCAGTGTTTTTCAGACTCGGCAGCTTTAAGATGTGTGGACTTCAACATGCTGGCTGAGGAATTCTGGGAGTTGAAGTCCACACATCTTAAAGCTGCCCAGTTTGAAAAACACTGCTTTAGAATGAAAAGTGTGGCTCTGTGCCCTGTCCTGGCACAGATCTGTACTGCTGTTTCTTTTCAGCCTAAAGATTACCAAGGTGATACTCTATTCCATCTCCAAAATCAGGTGAAGAGCTGCATGCAGGCTGCAAGTTTGAGATCCTGGTTTAGATAATACTGTATGTAGAATGAACTGCAATGAGTGATGGTCATTCTTCGTTTCCTTCTTTATCTGCAAGAGGAGGAGGTAAAACCAGGAAATCGACTTTTCCTCCTTTTCCATATGAGAAAGAAAGGCACACAAGCACAAGACTTACCCTGGCTCAACCTTGACCTTCTAAATCAAGATTTGAGCCAGGGCTGTTAAAGATGAATCCCTACATCTTACCGATGCAGGATTCAGTTGTGAATTTCACATATTGTAAAAGAAAATAAGTTAGCAAGGCAAAACTTACTTTCCTTTACAATGTGTAAGCAATTTCTTAAATTATTAATTTTTAAAAATAGCTAAAGTTTTTCTTATGTTTTAGAAAAATGACATAAGTTACAAGTGTCAATTAACATGTGAATATATCTATATTTTTTCCAATACAGCCAGCAAGGCAGATGCAGTTCATGTAGTGCTTGATAGGCATCTTGTCACTGGACAAAACGAAAATTCTACTGTTACAGCTGTGCAGAATCTTATTTTTCTCTGCAATGGCAGGTGAGAAAAGGCAGGTGAAATTACAAGTAAAATACAGAATGTTGCTTTTGCATCCCTATGTTACTGGGTGTTCTTATTACCAGCTTTGGTGATTTGTGCCAGCGTTTCCCCCCCCACCCCCCCGAAATTGGTTGATTCGAGGTTGTTGCTAGAATAAGGAGA